TCGACTTAGAAGATCCAAAGACATGATATAATCATTCATCAAGCTGAAAATTTCTCAAATGCTAATTAAATCAAAAAAATACGCACCCGATTCTCGTGATTATCATAGGCTCGATAGTTTCCAACACAAAATGAATTATTACATGTTTTCAATGAACAATTTCATACGAAGCAAAAGCTAAACTAACACGATTGAGCTGAGATTTCCACCAATAGTAGTGAGTTTAATCAGCATGTGAGGAAAGAAAAGATTGAAAAAAACTATCAAAATCTTACATTTAGTGTTCAAAGTGATCGACACATTTCTTGAGCTGATAAACGATGGAAGTGAGAGGCAATAAAGAGAAGCAGCAATCTCGACCAAAATCAAATGAAACTGTACAAATAGATAGGGATCTCTCGTCGAGAAACTTGGATAACAGACCGGATCGATGAACCGGGCAATAAGGATCGTGTCCAGATTGGAACACGTGGAGATTAGTAAGAAAGAGGAGAATCTGAAACCCTAGAGAGAGAAAAGGATGGATTTCAGATGTGTCGGGGGGAGAGAGAGCTGGCAAAATTTGTAGTTTTGGGGGGGGGGGGTTCGAATCTTGTGCGCTCGAGCTCAGAGTTGGTATTCTCAAACTTTTTTTAAAAAAAATTATACTCAGTTGAACATTTTTTTAATCGGAGAAATTAAATTAATTAAACTTTCGAATTGAAAAATCAAATTTATTAAATTAATTGATTAATTTTTTATGTTAAACTTCAATAATTTTTACAAGACATATAATACATTATAATTTTATCATATGAATTTTCTTTACGCATTTGTACTATTTTTGCTGTTAAACATTGTTCTTATTAAACTATGTTGTAGTTCATAACTTTAATAACATTTTATAATTAATTGTAAAATTTAATAATTAATTTATAATTCATTAATAAAATTTAGAGTAAAGAATACAAATGGACTCTCGATTGTAGAGCACTGCTTTATCAAGTCCATTAATTATTAAATAAAATAGTTCTCCAACTATAAAGTGTTATTTTGTTGAGTCTTTCGACTATTAAAAAGTTATAAAATAATCATTAGCCATCGTCATTTTCCGTTAAAAAATTAACAATATTCTAAGATGAACGTTAACTTACTAATTGTGATATGATAAAATTTGATCCTAGAATCTCAAACGACTATCATATCTCAGTCATCATGTTAATTTTCAACTTAGAAAACTGTTAATTTTGTAACAATTCAATAAAACAATATCCTAGTGTCAAGAAACTATTTGTGTAATTCTCAAACAACTATTATATAATTGGAAGACTATTTTGTAACCTTTAATAATCGATGGTCTTAATAAAACAATATCCTATTGTCAAGAAACTATTTGTGTAATTTACCTTAAAATTTAATAATAATTTTATAACAATTAGATAAAATTTAATAATTATCCTGTAAAAGTCTGATAAACTTAATAATCATATTATATTTTTAAAAAATTAAATGTTTAATAACTAAAACGTTTACTTGATTCAACGAACTGGTGAAGATAACTTTTGTGGGGAATTCCTACAAATAGGACATGTAGCATTCAATCGAAGCCATGCATCGATGCAGTCAGCATGGAAACAATGTTGGCATTGAGGTATGGTCATTGAGGTATGGTCTTGAGGGTTTTTCCATGGGCCAACATTCAGACAAACATATCGAGCAAGTGTTGTCATCGGGTTTCGAAAGTCATCGGCTCTCACCCAACACTACTTTTGGATATGATTCTATAGTTTCTCCGTCGAGACACATTATGATCGTCGGTCAAGGTGCAACCCCCTGAATTAAGCTCTGGGTTATGACGGTGTCTTGTGAAGTAGGACTTGAGAATGCTGTAAAGGAAGCATATTTGCTTACAATCTCATAAGCCAACGCACCGAAAGGTGCTAGAAAGCGTTGAGCGCAATTCAAGCGAACGAAGCTCTTCAAACCTTGGATTGGCCAATATTATTGTCTCAAGACTTGACCTAAAAGATATTAGCATTGTCCTAACCAAACTTCAATTGGTTTGAGTTTGAATCCATGCAAAACACACACATCAGGAGGAGAGTTTACCTCGTCGTCGCAGTCGAACAACTTTCATGAGTTGAATTGGCTTTCATCCCACACTTGCAGCCCCCAGATCCGCACTTTCGGCACTCAGGTTTGCTCCCACAGATCATTGTCCAATGACCGCGCTTCATAAAAAGGCCACCCGACTGGGATTGAAAATGTTGCAATTCGTCGGCTTGTCGACAACGACAACAAAGAACCAACCAACTCATTCCACGAAGTAGCAAAAACCATGTAACTGGCACCGCTAAGGCAAGCAATCGGATTCAAACCATAACTCAAATAATCCAACGAGCAATTGAAAAACGTGAAATCTTAGTAATAAACAGCCGCAAACGGAGAACCAGAAAGGTCGGGCTCGATAATTCTCCGCGGAAGGCAGCTGCCGGGGTCATTGATCCAGATTTGTTGTGTACCATAATCAATGGCTTCAACGCTGAAATTTCCAGAGGAAGCTGAAGCAATGTCCGGATTGAGTTACGAACTTATGATTACAAAATAAATCGAAACCTGCGAAGCCACAAGACTTAGGCTGCCAGCCAATGACCTGACACGGGAATCAAATCAGTGGCGTCGATTTGGTGATTTGGCAGAGACGGATTCCATGCATGGATCTTTGGTGGTGCTTGTTACAGTGTGTAAGGAGTAGCATAAGAAGATGATGGAGTAGAAGAGTTCAAGAATGTTCATATTGACGAATGAAAAATGAAACCATAGAGTGAAATAATGATTTGATGTCAAAATATAAGAATATATAACCTCTGGTTCTGAGCTTTTCTAAATAGAACAGGCTCAGCTTGATGTCATTCGAAAAGAATTAGTAATTTCATCGAGTATTTTGTGCAACCATTGTCAAATGAAGGCTTTCTATTTTTTATAGTCACACCTATAAATTTAGGAAGAGAATCCAGCAAGGTTTGAAGCTCAATGTTTTTGAGCTAAATTTATTGGACAATCATTAGCATCATGATCATGACTTTCAGTTCTACATTCTTGATATAAAAATTTAGCAAATAAAATTACCAATAACAAAAAGAACTCATAAATCAGAAGTCGTAGCAGCGACCATTGCGTTCCCAATCACCGTACCGAGTGGGCTCCGGGCCTTTAGGCCCGCCTACCTCCCCCGTCTCTTTATTCACATGATCTCCTTCATCTCCGTCTTCACCTTCTTCTTTATTCTTCGATTCAAGATTTTCTTTCAAAGCTTCCCGATCTTCCTCGTCGACCTTTCCTCCGTGGTTCAACTGAGATTGCTGAGCGGAGGAGCATACGAAGCGAGTCGTCGAGTTGGAAGCGGAACGAGCCACCGAATCCGATCTGAAACCAGTGAAAGACGGCTTGGCAATAGAGTGCTCCGATAGCGACGAGAATAGACGGCTCAGGCTGGCTTTCGCCATTTTTTTGCTTTCTAGGAAGCGTAAAGTGAGGTAACGAATAGAAACCTAAATCGGTTTTGTTCACTGGGGAAGAAAGGATTAAAAAGGAAAGCGAGGATTGGGGGATTGGAGACACCAGCACGGCGTCGTGTTGGAACATGATGCTGCCGCCACGTTTTGTTGCCACGTGGAGACTATAAAATGGCGTTCAGGCCCAGAAGGACAATTTGCAATTCAGACCAACCCAAATCCAAAAGATAATTAAAGAAAAAGGTTAATGTTTAATTTAGCCAAAAATGCATTAGAAGTCATGTGCTTTTAAAAAAATCAATGTGGCTACCATATTAATTTTGTCTTTAAATGTAGTCTTTCAACTCAGAAAATAAACTCAATGTAGCCCTTTAATCTATCTTTTTCATCGTTGACCGCTATAGTGTTGATGTAGCAGTTCATGGTGCTGACGTGACAATCTATGATGCTGCCACGACAATCCAAGGTGGCAGATTAACATGACAGATAACATGGCATATTGACTAAATTGGCAACTCAAACATGACAGATGGACAGTCATGTCAACACTATGAATTGACACGCTAGTACTGCAACTATCAACGAAGAAAAACATTAGTCAAAGGATCACATTGTATTTGTTTTTGAGTTGGATGACCACATTAAGAGAAAAAATAATACGAGGCCACATTATTTTTTTTCAAAATTACAATGACCTCTAATGCTTTTTTGCCTTTAATTTATTCCTAAAATGAGTGTGAAAATTAAATTGCGTCCAAAAACCAAAACCTCAAAAAATTACTAGAATTTTGTATAAACTTCCAAAGGTTTTTTTTCCTCAATACGACAGCCCGAAAACAAAATTTGCCAAATAAGACTGCCAGAATTTAAATTTAGGATATACAACACTTACTACGGTGCATGAAATAATAATAATGATACAATTTTAAATTTGTACTTTTGATGTGATAAAAATTAATAAAAAAATATATTTTATTATAACTCATCACCTTGTGGTGAAGAGTTTGAATAAAAATATTATTTGACAAACTCCTCCCCTTGACTAACGAGTTCCTTAAACACTATAACAAATACCATAGATCCAACATTAAAAGTCAAAGTCATTTTACAAATTTTGTTATCGGACTGCAGTATTAGGCAAAAAAACCAACTTTCAAACCCTAAATCGGGCCAATTTGCCAAGCCCACTCAAGATAATATGTATTTTCAAACAAAATAAATCCTTTTTTACATCGTGTAGATCAATTTGTAACTTTTGAAAGTTCAATTATCAAAACAGTCATTTAAGCATAATTTGATATATTATACCCATAAATATGTATTGTGCTCTACCAAGCCAGACATGACACTATTTTTTTAAACTAATTTGATGAAATAAGAGTTTTAAGTATTACAGTGAACAAAAAAAGAGTTTAGCACCAAAATGAGAAATCGAATATAATTCCAAGGGTTAAATCATGAATAATGCCGAAAATTTTGTATGTTCAGTGCAACCAACAGAAATGATGTTTGATAACCAAAGCAACCTGAGAAACAACATTTTTCTAGCAACAAAGACCGTTGAACACTGTGAACAAAGCAAAAAATCAATGCACCCCGAAGTTCTTAGATGAATGGTGTTTTCCCTTTTACATAATCTAAAGCTCGATGTCACAAAATCGGATCATTAGGTCGGAAACTATTCTCCTCGCAAATGGAATATAGCTCAGACAGTACCTGAAGGAAAGCTCGAAGTATAACGATATAAACAGTCTAGATATCAAACATTAAGCAGGAAGATGAATTACGCCTCGAAGGAAACCGAGGAAAATACCGAGAGGCCAACTTACCAGACAAGGGCATAAATCTCACATATGACTGCAAGTACTGTCAAAATATTGCTGTGAATCTGCCATATCAAAAGTTCGAGAACATGGCATATTCTTGATATGGTGCTCAATTCTCATGCTTTATTTTTTTTGATAAGAAACAATTCTCATGCTGTAAAAGGCTGAAGGTAGCGGAACGTAGACGACTTAGCAATTGTGTACGAGTATTTGACATCAAACTATTATGAATGGAATATTGTAAACTCGATCTATGTGGTTTTCGCAGATTCAAACTTCTTTCAATCACTAAAGGTTGCTGGAACTGATCTAATCATCACAGGTTCAAGGTAGCAAACTTACCAATAACGCACAAATGAGAGCAAGAACAACAAATCCAATGTAAACAGATGTTGCGTAAATGCGAACAGAATCGAACATCATTCGTAGCTGTTGCTCGGGTCCCATGAGGAATGTTGTGCTGTCAAATCAAAGAGTATCACAAAGTAAAAAATATGAGAAACCTTGAGCAGAAAACAATTTAATAATGTTGAACTGTACTATATGAACTATTCATCCAGGCACTTCATTATTTATATAAGCCTGATTCATTTTCACCGTTTCATTGACAAAAACATTGATAGAGATGTGGTGGACTACTAGATTGCCAGGGTTAGTAAAATTGGTTTCGAGAGCACGATATATAAAAGTCTAGACACAAAGTTATGCTAGTTATGCGACACTCAAGGCTAATGATTGCTAAAGGTTGAAAAGCTATTCTTTTGTTATGGTGTCCAAAAGCAGCATTTATGACTCAATTAAACCCGAAACATTTGTTGAGATTATAATGTCGAGAGTTCTGTTTGAATAAGGGCACCAAACAACCTACCTACCAAGCTGGACCTTCATCTGGTTTGGGCTCATCTGGGCTCTCATTGCTTCGGGTATGCTCCGACTTGGCCCCGGACAGAAACGAGCATCTACAGCTGCCCCTCTTTGCTCATTGTCGTGTAACGAGACTAGAGCAAAGATCAAAAGATGATCGAATTTGTCCGGTCATGAGAACTTCAAAAGATTAAACCACTCAATATTACGTCGGGATAAGTGAGACTTGAAATATCTTCAAATGACGAGTCTGCTCCGTATTCCTTCAGGAAGTATAAGACTCGAACAATCTTCGTAAAATGTGTCTGCTCTCTATTCATTCAGAGAGTATAAGACTTGAACAATCTTTAACAAACGTGTCTGCTCCCTATTCGTTCAGGGAGTATAAGACTCAAACAATCTTCAACAAACGTGTCTGCTCCCTATTCGTTCAGGGAGTATAAGACTCGAATAATCTTCAACAAACGTGTCTGCTCCCTATTCATTCAGGGAGTATAAGACTCGAATAATCTTCAACAAACGGGTCCGCTCTCTATTCCTTCAGAGAGTATAGAACTCGAACAATCTTCAACAAACTTGTCCGCTCCCTATTCCTTCAGAGAGTATAGGACTCAATCTTCAACGAACTTGTCCGCTCCCTATTCCTTCAGAGAGTATAGGACTCAATCTTCAACGAACTTGTCCGCTCCCTATTCCTTCAGAGAGTATAGGACTCAATCTTCAACGAACTTGTCCGCTCCCTATTCCTTCAGAGAGTATAGGACTCAATCTTCAACAAACGAATTTGCTTCACTACTCTTTCGTGAAGGCTTATAGATGATTTGCTTCAAAAGTCAAACCTGAAAATCAAACATTATTCGTCATGAATGTATATTTGAAAAATATTATACTAAAAAAAATAATTTAGAAGTTGAGAAATTTTTTGAAAATCCATCTCCATCGCGAAAACTTGTCTGGAAACCATTGGATACGTGAATCTGCTTTAGCTCAGTTTTGGTATAAACATCATTCTTTTCAAAATCTCCAAACCAAATATCTTCATCTCGATGCTTCAATATCTTCAATCTTCAACTATCATTGAGAAACCTGCAAAATGCTTAAGTCATCATGCAATTATGAGTGTCATGATCCTATTCATGCCTAAATGTATGCAAATATGCAATTTGATGCATTTTCTTCTTCGTAGGAACTCTATCTCCTTTTGATCTCGGTGGAACTCGGCTTCATCTTGGGCACAGAACGTTTGATCAGTTCACCCCAGTTTACAATCTCAATTCCATATCTCTCGCCTTAACAGTACCTTGACTTATTTCTTTCTTGAAACCCGTCAGTATCCCTGACCAACTTCTCGACCAATGATAACCTCCTTGGGTCATCTTTTAATGGCTGAGATTTTCTTTGAATTTGAGGATTTTAGTTTCCCATGGCCACACAAGCTTATATGTTTAGACCATTGTCAACTTCAGAATACCTGCATTTTCCAAAATCTTTTGCACAATAATACAAAATGATCTCATGTACTTCAAGTTAAGCTATATGTTTTAACCTTTCAAAATAAGATGTTTGCAAAAGGGAAATGAACAAGAAAATACATCTCTTTATTTATATAAATACAGAGAATTTTAGGCAATTAAATGGCAAACTTTTAGCTGGAAACAGTAAAAGAACAAAAGAGTAGGCGTCTTCAAATATCAATAATGCAAATGCTTTTGAACTGGCACGCCGTTAGAATATCTCGAGTGTAGCTTCTGTCAAAAGGATCTCCAAAATTGTGATGCTTAAGAGTATGAAGCTACTTCTAAACTTCCAGATCTCTATCATTGGATGCCCTAAACCAGTATTGAATCTCATGTGCATTCAATTTCTCTTGGTTATTTCAATCGAGACTCATTAATCTTTAATCTCATCCCTGATCACCAACTGTCATTGTTACTATCCATATCAGGAGCTCTTCCCACTTCGAAAATTGATTTAGAACCTCCACCATGCACGGATTCTGAATTTCAAATTCAACTCAAGTCGCCCTTTACGGGTTTTTCAACTTGAGACCTCCTTTGGTTCCAAGACGCCCTTTTCGGGTTTTCATCTTGAACCCTCCTTTTATTTCTCTTTTTTCATTTTCCTTTTTTTTCATTTTTCATTTTTTCTTCCCTTTTCCTTTTTTTCTTTTTTTTTCTTTTCGTTTTTTCCATCATTTTTCTTTTTTCTCATTTTTTCTCTTTTATTTCTTCTTCAAGCAAAATATCTCTTAACAGCGTCGGAATTCACTGGATAGGGTAATTCTGATCCGTCCATTTCAGTTAGGACTAGAGCTCCCCCAGAAAAGGCTTTCTTGACAACATAAGGTCCTTCCCAATTGGGCATCCATTTTCCTCTGAAATCCTTCTGAATAGGCAAAATCCTTTTAAGCACCAAATCTCCCTCATGGAATTCTCGAAGGCGAACTTTCTTACCATGTGCCCGTATCATACGTTTTTGGTACATCTGACCATGGCAAATAGCTTTCAATCTCTTTTCTTCAATCAAATTCAACTGGTCATACCTAGCTTGGACCCATTCTGCCTCATCAAGCTTTACCTCTGACAAAATCCGAAGTGAGGGAATTTCTACCTCAATAGGTAAGACAGCTTCCATCCCATAAACCAAAGAAAACGGAGTTGCCCCAGTTGAAGTCCGTACTGAAGTTCGATAAGCAAACAGAGCAAATGGCAACTTCTCATGCCAATCCTTATAGGTCTCAGTCATTTTCTCTATGAGCCTTTTGATGTTCTTATTGGCCACCTCTACTGCCCCATTCATCTTTGGGCGATAAGTGGTGGAATTATGATGCTTTATTTTGAACTGCTTACAGACCGAGTCCATCATCTTATTATTTAAATTCAACGCATTATCGGAGATAATCCTCTCGGGGCAAACCATATCTACAAATGATCTCCTTCTTCAAAAATTTGCATATTATTGACTGGGTAACATTTGCGTAAAAAGCCGCTTCTACCCACTTGGTGAAGTAATCTATGGCTACCAGAATGAAACGATGACCATTTGAAGCTTTGGGTGAAATTTGTCCAATAACATCCATGCCCCACATTGAGAATGGCCACGGAGCTGTCATTACATGCAACGGATGAGGAGGAGTATGTATCTTATCTCCATAAATCTGACATTTGTGACATTTTCGGGCATAATTGATACAGTCTGTTTCCATAGTTGACCAGTAATACCCAAATCTCATAATCTGCCTAGCCATAACATGCCCATAGCATGGGTACCGCATATTCCCTCATGCACTTCTTCAAGAATCAATTTGGCCTCTTTCGCGTCCACACATCTTAACAAGACCTGATCCAGACTTTTCTTGTATAGGGTCTCACCATCAAGCACATACCCTGATGCCATTCTTCTAATGGTTCTCTTATCATTCTCAGTGGCCTGTTCTGGATAACTCTGATACCTTATATATATTGCAAGATATCATAATACCAGGGGTTTCCATCTTCTTCCTCTTCAATATTAAAACAATGGGCCGGATACTCATAAGCCTTCATTTCAATGGGCATCATATTTGAATGCTCGCTCATCTTAAATGCTGCTGCCAGTGTGGCTAAGGCATCTGCCATTTGATTCTCTTCTCTGGGGAGGTAATTGAAAGTTACTTCATCAAATTCTTCAACAAGTTCCATAACTAACTTACGGTATTCTACAAGCTTGGGATCTTTTGTCTCCCATTCTCCTCTGAGCTGGTATATTACCAAAGCTGAATCTCCATACACCTTAAGCATTTTTACTTTGCGTTCAACAGCAGCTCTAAGACCCAGAACACAGGCTTCATACTCAGCCATATTGTTAGTACAATCAAAATTAAGCCGACTGGTGAAAGGATAATGCTCTCTCTCTGGTGAGACCAAAATTGCCCCGATTCCATGTCCCAAGTCATTTGAAGCACCATCAAAGTTCAACTTCCAATATTTGCTAGTGGATGCCACTGCTTCTTCTACCGAAATAGCCATTAAATCTTCATCTGGGAAATCAAAGCTCAACGACTCATATTCTTTCGAAGCCCTGCTTGCAATGAATTCCGCTATAGCACTTCCTTTAATTGCCGTCTGGTTTACATACTGGATGTCAAACTCGGACAATAAGATCTGCCAACGAGCTAATCTTCCAGATAATGCAGGCACACCCATTAGATATTTCAAGGGATCAAGCTTGGATATAAGCCAAGTAGTATGATACAACATATATTGTCTAAGCCTTCGGGTAGCCCATACTAAAGCGCAACACAACTTTTCAACGGGTGAATATCTTGTCTCACATTCAGTGAACTTCTTGCTGAGATAATAGATCGCCCTTTCTTTCTTCTCAGTTTGGTCACGTTGCCCCAGCACACATCCCATTGAATTTTCATAAACTGACAAATAAAGAATCGACAAATATCTTTTCACTGCTTCAAAAGCTCTTTGACAATCCTCACTCCATTCCCCTGAGTTATTCTTGCGAAGAAGGCGGAATATGGGATCACACTTTTCTGTCAGCTGTGAAATAAACCGAGCTATATAATTTAATCTCCCCAAAAATCCTCTGACTTCTTTTTGTGTTCGTGGGGGTGGCAAGTTTTAAATAGCCTTTACTTTATCTGGGTCTATTTCAATTCCTTTTTGGCTTACTACAAATCCCAACAACTTTCCAGATGTCACCCCAAAAGTACATTTATTTGGGTTGAGTTTTAGTTGGCATCTTCTTAGTCTTTTAAAAAGCTTTCTCAAATTCACAATATGTTCTTCCTCTGTCTTGGCTTTGACAATCATATCATCGACATAAACTTCTATCTCTTTATGCATCATGTCGTGAAATAACGTCACCATGGCCCTTTGATATGTTGCCCCGGCGTTCTTCAGTCCAAATGGCATTACTTTATAACAAAACGTTCCCCACATGGTAACGAACGTCGTTTTTTCCATATCTTCAGGATTCATCTTAATTTGATTGTAGCCA